GACATGAGACAGTGCTGTCTCCTGGTACCCCCAGGGGTTAGCTTAGAACTGTATGTGCCTACCTACTCATATTCTGTGTTTTGTGTAGGGCCAGATGCATCTTTCAACATAAGGGAACATAACAGCAAAGGATCCCACAGTAAATCAGGGTCCAAGATAATGCCAGTATAAGTTAACTGCTCTTCTCTGTGTTTTAGTCTCACCTTGGTGCATATCAGTTACCGTCTTTTATTGAAATTTATCTGTTTATATAGTTGTCTTCCTGTTCAGTAGCCTGGCACATAGTATGTACTCAACAAATGGTTGTTAAAAGAATAAATAGAATGAAGAAATGAATGACTGAATGAGTAAATAAAGCTCTCAGGGTCAGGAACCGTATCTTCCATCAGTGTCTGACAAGGCACCCAGCATTAAAGGGTGTTGTGTAAACATATGTGAATGAAACTATTGAACTAACCTTGGAGCTGAACCTGACATATTAGAGGTTCTTAGCATCATTAAGTTCCTATTTTTGACTTATCAGTCATCAGCTGGTTGTAGTTTCTGAGTATTATCTCTTTCTTCTTAGTGTCTCTGAATATGTGCTTTCTTTTGTAATTAAGATTCTTCACTTGGTAATAATTCTGGCCAATGGAATGCAAACTAACATCTGTTGCATGGCCAGGCAACACTAGCAACACTGGATTATTCCATGCCTGGACTATGCAACTTTCAGGCTTTTGTGCTTCAATTACACTGTTTGCTCTGCTTCTCATAATTCTCCCTCATGTTTTCTTCTCTGCTCCTCAACTCAAAGAATTCCAATTCATTCTTCAAGGCCAAGATCAAATATCACTTCCTCAAAGAAGCCTTTCTCAACCCCACTTTTTCTCTTTGCCATGATTCTCTATCATTTCATAGTTCTAGTTATCTCTCCCATGATGCTTTGTTCATACACTAACAAAATGTGCCAGTAGATAGTTGTTTCTATGTAATAGTTTCCTCTTCTATGACGTTAGCTTGGAGAAAATGAAATTTGTCCTGAGTATATTTGCATGTCTGTATTAGGGTTCTCTAGAGGGACAGAACTAATAGGATAGAGAGATATGTGGATTGGCTCATGTGATTAAAGAGGCTGAGACATTCCTCGATAGACCATCTGTAAGCCTGGAGACCCAGGAATGCCAGTAGCATGGTTGTCCAAACTGGAGGGCCTCAGAACCAGAGGAAGCCCTTGGTGCACCTCTCATTCTGAGGCTGAAGACCTAAGAAGCCAGGAGGCCACTGGTGCAAGTCTCAGAGTTCAAAGGCTGGAGAACCTAGAGTTCCGATGGCCAACGACAGGATAAGAAGAGTGTCTCAGCTCCAGTAGAAAGAGCAAGAGAGCCTTTCCTCTGCTTTTTACTCTATCCACACCCCCAGCTGATTAGATGGTGCCCACCCACGTGGAAGGAGGATCTCCCCAACTCAGTCCACTAACTCACATGCCAATATCCTCTGGAAATAACCTCATAGACACACCCAGAAATAATGGTTTAACACCTATCTCTTAATCCAGTCAAGTTAATACCTAAAATTAACCATCACAATCTCCAAAGTCAAACATAGTGCCTGGTTGGAGACCTACATGTGTCGAATCAATCAAGAAAACTCACAGTGTGGTGTGTAGTATACAGAGTTACTTTAACCTAGGTCTGAGTTATAGCTCAAGCCACTTACTACCTGTTAACCTTGGACACATTATTTAACCTTTCTGAACCCTTGTTTTCTCATTTGTAAAGCAAGGATGATAAAAATAATATAAATTAACTTTTGAACATGGCTTGAGAATTTAATGAGTTAACACCTTTACAGTTATGTAGAGCAGTGCCCGAGGCACAGTAGGCACACAATAAATATTAGCCCTTATTTTAATAATCATCTTATGTCGTGAGATTGGTCTCCTAGAAGGGCAGTGAAAATATTATCAAAAGAATCACCAATTGCTGCTCAGGAGCATTGAAGGAGCACTTTGAGTTGGAAAAGTGTCAGCAATTTTCATTGAAGCTAGATGCGCATGTCTATGCCTAGTGGGTAGCCCTTAATTTGCTTTTTCTTCACATTTCTTGGCGATTCAATGCTGAGGAACCCATGTCTCTGATACCTGGCTCAGAGCCCAGTCTCCTAGGATGCTATTTCAACTTGACCCAGCTATAAAAGCATAGGAGCCCCAGTCATCAAATAAAGCAGCAGAGCAACGAAGGTCTGTGCTGTCTGGTCAAGGGTTAGATTTGGATGGTTAGGGAGCTGGAAGATATTGGTATGGGATTGTGGGGTTGGAGAGATGGATTTGGCTTAGGAGAACAGAAGGAAGGCTCCAGCAGCAGGAAATCATTTTCTTGCTAGCCTGTGTTTCAGTTAGGGGCAAATATTAGAAGCAGGAACTGCCTCAAGGTAGGAGATAATAGGACTGAGGGTTTTAGGTAAGGGATATCCTGCTACAGAGATGATAATGTGATCTGGTATGTGTTTTTCTCTGCATGTCAAATGAATAACAAGGATTCATTTGCTTTTGCCACAAGATGCACAACATTCTCTACTCCTCCCTCTGTGGTTGCTGCTGGAGGCCGCTCATGTAGGGCACCCATATTCATGACAGCTTGAAAGCACCAGAGAAAGCCAGCTTCTATGTTACATTGTAAAATCGCAGCAGGCTTATTTCTTTGAGAGCACGTACTGTTTTGAGTCC